GTCTGGGTTGGTGATGAGTGTTTGACTGCTTTTCGTTCTTTTGGCAGCTGTTTATTATCTATAATCAACAGGAGCAGAGGCTGTAGAAGATTGGATTTTCATCGAAACTAATAGTAATAACAAAGTCATGGTATTTTACTCTAGCACCTCTCTGTTTCCACTGCTCTGTTTCATCTTTTTATCCTTTTATTTTGTGTCTGGCCGGGGTTTACTCATTTGAGCCGGTGATAATTGATTGCAGGTGAGTTCATTTGGGCAAATGGGGAACCACGACATGGGTCCACCATGGTTGATACCCATGCTTAGAGCAAGCTATTTCATTCCCTGTGGAGTTCATGGTGAATCCAATAAAAGCGAATGCAATATGTTCTGCTTAGATTGTATGGGAAATGCTTTCTGTTCGTATTGTCTCATTTATCACAAAGACCACCGTGTTGTTCAGGTTTGTCGACTCTGTCTTCGAATTAAAACACTATTAATTTTACATCTACCTACTGCCAGTACTGGTACAGTGTTTTCTTCAATCTTATAGCATTGATAAGCATTGCTTGATTGATTGAAAAACCGCATGGTTTGTGCAGATAAGGCGATCTTCATACCATAACGTGGTGAGAGTAAATGAGATACAGAAATACATAGACATATCATGCGTGCAGACTTACATCATCAATAGCGCCAAGATTGTGTTCCTCAACAAGCGCCCTCAGCCAAGGCCGGGAAAGGGAGTCACCAACACTTGTGAAATTTGTTGTCGAAGTCTCCTTGATTCTTTCAGATTCTGTTCACTTGGATGCAAGGTAGGTTAATTCTGATGATTTTCCTTCTCGATTATTAATCGGCGCTGTGCTCTGCTCTGATTACTTAATACAATATCCATTGTTTGTTCGAGTAAAGTGCTCTTTGCGTTTTGTTAGCTGGGAGGGATGAAGCAGGGTGACCCAGACCTTACATTTGCGGTAAAATTGAAGCACAATAGGGATCACTTCTTTGGTGGGTCAGAATCAGATGAGTCCTCGACCCCTAAGAAGATTCGCAGGACACATGCTTTCAATCGTTTGATGGAGGGACTCTCAATCTATTCCTCTAATAATGATGGCGCGGAGAGCTCCGGTGATGATGCAGCTACCAACATTTCTCCGGCTACTCCTCCCATTTTCAATCATCGAAATGCAAGGAGAAGAAAGGGTATACCTCATCGTGCCCCATTTTAAGATTTCATAAACCGAAAAAAAAAAAAAATCAGATTTCCAGTATGCTTAGCATTTAGTGGTATTAAAAAAAGGAAAAAAAATGGCAAATAAAATGATGGCGAGGAAGGAGGAAGTGGAATGTGGGGAATTAGGAAATGATACATTCTCAAGCTTCTTGTGTAGATACCTCTCCACTAGTATAGAATAGGATACTAGATAGTATGTTTTTAATAGCTTCGGAGCAAGGAAATGGTCCCTTCATATACATTTAGCAATTACTGTTGGGATTTAATTTCTAAGTCAAGAAAACTTTGGATATATGTAATACCATATCCATGCATGTACAGATCATGTCTATAAATATATAATATGGGGTTTTAGATTGTTGGAAGGGTAGCAATAATAGAGTACAGTGGCATTTGTACAGAACAGAACATTGTGCTTTGTTCTTGTAGATATTTATATTTAAAGTTATACCTTGTGTTCTGGCATCTTTGAGATCTTCTATTTTATATTCTATGTGCATTCTGAGACACCTTTCGTCTATGTATATATATAGGGAGGGTGGGGTGTTTTCTCATGGGAAAATGAGTTGCAACTTCTTCTTATTTTGGACATGAATGGATCAATTGTGAATTCGTAGGTCGAAATGTGAAACTTATGCTGCATATATATGTGTAGGCTGCTCACAGATTTTGTAATGGATATGATGGAGAATCTTCGTAGGGAAGTGCATTTGTGCTGATCAAGTTTTAGATATAGATTCTTAGAATATTTTAGACTACAAAAGTTTTTTGTTTTTTTTTTTTTTTTGAGAAAACAATAACATACCATTCCTATTATCAACAACAATATACCATTCCTGAAGATAAAAGATGGTCGATGGTTCTTGATTGATTTTATGCTTTAGTTTCTTCCTATATCTCCACGCCCCAACACCCCCCCCAAAAAAAAAAAAATAAAAAAAAAAATAAAAAAAAAGGGGGGGGTGA